CTCTTCCCACACAGCAGCAGGGACATGTGGTTTAAATTTGTTTAATTACATAATATAATTGCCATTGAAAACCAAATCGTATTTTTTCCCCCAGAGTTTTCATATGATTTGTTAAATACTTTTGAGGCTTTACTGTAAAAATCATATTATGCAGCTAGAGACGTTTGCATCACTCATTGAGAAGTATAAATGAAATCTTACACATTTGGTCTACAGTTTTCGTAATCTGGAAGTGAGACAAAATTAGACGTAAGTGTTTCTTTTGTGACGAAAATCGCCTCAGTATTTAGTAGAAATGAGTGGGATCAGAATAACTGAAAGTGCACCAATAAGTTTATAGGAGTTCCGTTATTGCTAAGGTAGAAAAGCTGTTCAGACCTTGAGCAAGGTTTCATTTTCGATTATGGATTAAGACGACGACAGTGAAAATATTATATTTGTAATTTATCAACAGCGGCACGGTGTTAATTTTCATTTAATGTGTTTTGTTAATATTTTGACAAATCAAAAGCACTGTCATTTGGTTAACCTGATTGGTTCACCTATCCTATATTTAATGATTTGATATGCCAATCAGTCCCAACTAATTACGCCTTCAGCAGGAAGGCTGACAAGGTAGGTAAGATGCTTGACGTAAAATATGACATACACCGTGCTACGCATTTCATTCATATGGCGAAACCAAAGTCTGAAATGTCTACAGTCCTCGTCATTTAAAGCTGTCATGAATATTAATAATAATTACAGTAATTAGATTAATCCGCGGGTCTAGCGACTGGCATTTTGGTATTGAAAGCAGTCCCGGCAAACGAACAACAGGGCATAAGCAAAGAAAAAGTTGCGTGATTGAACCCATCGTTGGCTGTCTGTTCTATTGTAAAGCAAATCAAACGACAAGGTGTCAGAAGATATTTAAAATAACTGAAGGATTGAAGCCGCCGTCTGGGCTTGATCTGCAAACCTGCAAGTGTCCGATGATTTCTGCAGCAACAGGAGGCGCTAGCAAACCTGCTAAGGTACAGTCCTGGCAGTTTCTTCATGTGGCTGGTGAAGATACCGTTTAAGTGTATAATACCTTCGCTTTTGACACTGCATAACTTACAAAATCTCATCAAGCAACACAATTTACAAACGGTAGAACATTTTCCCGTGTGTGCAATGGGATATGTCTCTTACCCAGTATGTTACGGAGCTAAAACGAAGGGCACAGTCATGCGAGTTTGGTGGTTTGCTTGACTCACTCATTCGGGACCGCGCAATCTGTATAGCGTTTCCTCGGATGCATTAAGGGAAAGACTGTTAAGGGGCGGATATTACTCTCCACAAAGCTGTACAGGGATGCATCGAGTCCGAGACTACTAAAGCTCAAGTTCAGTAAATGCAAGAGGAGGATCGGACTGCGCAAGCCTCCTCACATGACAGTAGCCATGTCCAGATAGCCTATATAAACTGAAAGGATAAAAGGAAAATAAACACACATTTCACTGTAAAAGATGAGACACTGAGCACGGACTATAACGTTGTCCAGCTTTTGGTAAACAGTCCAAGAACCGCGAGAAAATTTATAATTTTGCAAAAACGTGAGATCGAAAAAAAATTATGTAGTTGAAGATGAGGAAGTAACAGGACAGCTTGCAACTTTGTGGGTGTTGTGCACACAGCCACCAACTGAAGAATGGGCAGTTGACCTAAAAATAGGATGTAGATATTTTAGTTAAAAATTAGATACTGGAGCACAGGCATATATAATTCTTTACAGCCTGTTGCATTGATTGGACCAACAGATTACAAATAGGCAGGAATGTAAACGTGTCTATTTACACAGGAGGAAAAATACCTGTAAAAGGAAGCCTGAAAGTGTGCTACAAGAATGAAACACATGCTGTGGAGTTTGTAGTGGTGAAAAATGAGGTAAAACCAGTGTGTGAAATACTGGTCAATATTCGGGGGGGGGTCCCCTTCTCCCTATTGTTGCCCAATACCGATCTTGAGACCCCCTTAAAATTTTGCTTTTGAGGCTTTCAGGGGGTCTCATGGGTTAATGGGGGGTGTCAGACCCCCCTGTATTTTGCACACTGGGTAAAACCCTGACTGGGAATTCAAATATGTTAAAAAAAAAAAAACTAATCAAATGGGTGATGGCTTTGAGGATGAGCAAAAATGATATTTTCACTGAATGTTCTGATGGGTTTGAGGGTGTAAGCTGCCTTGAGGATGAACACAGAATCAAAAAGAAAGAAAAGTTTCAGTTGCATTGTGGGAAAAACTTCTAAACAAATTGCAGAGAATGGTAAAAATAAAAGGAGGGGATTAAAAAGATTGAGGAACCAGCACAGTGGGTGAACCCCTTTATGATGGTTGAAAAACCTAATAGCAACTTAAGGATCTGTTTGGACCCTCGGGACCTCAACACAGCTGTGATGAGACAACATTATCAGCTACCTACAGTGGAAGAAATAACAGACAGACTGGCAAAAGCTAAACAGTTTTCTGTGCTGGATACAAACTCAGGCTTTTGGCACTGTTAATTGGATGATGCCAGTTCTTTGTACATTTAACACTCTGTTTGGCCTCTATAGGTTTCTTCGTCGTCCCTTTGGGATCGACTCGGCACCTGAAATGTTCCACAGAACAGTGAAGCAGCTGTTTCAGAGGATTGGAGGTGTTAACCTACTTTGATGACATACTTGTTTGGGACAAAAGAACAGCACAATCAAAGGTTAACAAGTGTTAAAGAGAGCCAGAGCTTAGAATTTTTGACTGAATAAAGAAAAATGTATGATTGGAGTTGAGGAAACCAAATATCTTGGTCACATTCTATCACAAGATGTTTTGAAACGTGACCCAAGCAAAACTGAGGCCATCAGAAAAATGCCCAAACCTGAGTGTAGAAAACATGTTGAATGATTTCTTGGAATATTTCCATCAGTTTGTGTGTGACAGAGACTTAAAAATACAGTCTGACTACAAACCACTGGAAGCAGCCATGAAAAAAACCATTAGCAGCAAGAATACAGAGATTGTTATTGAGATTACAGAAGTATCAGGTCAGTGTGCAGTACAAATCAGGAAAAGAAATGTATGCTTCAGATGCTTTATCTAGAGCATACTTACTAAAGATTGACATAACTGAAGAAGCTGAAGCTTGGGATCACATAGTTATGGCACACTTACCTGTGACTAAAGAGAAATTGGCCAAGATCAAAGAGAAAACATGTAAGGATGGAACACAGAAAAAGTTAATTGATGCTCTGTACAGGGGATGGCCCGAAAGGAGGTGTCAAATTGCTAAAAAGTAGGAGGTGAGAGAATTATTGTTATGGAAACAATGAGAGGTGAGATGTTGAAACAAATTCATGAAAGTCACCAAGGCCTAGAGAGTTACAGGTGGAAAGCGTGACACATGCTTTTTAGGGCTGAAATGTCTAAAAGCATAACTGACACCATGAACAACGGGGATGTGTGTCTCACATTCAGAAGATTTCAAAGCAAGGAACCACTCCTTCCACACAGCACACCAGAAAGGCCATGGCAAAAGATAGGTATTGACTTTTTCACATTTAACAGCGACTACTTCATTTTGGTGGATTATTACTATAAACTCGTTGGAATTGAGTGGCTGAAGCACTAACATCATAACCCATCTCAAGTTACAGTTTTCCAGGTATGGAATTTCTGAAACTGTTGTTCCTAATAACTACAGCTGGGCGATATGACCTAAAAATAAAATCTCCGATTTTTTTCACAATAATTTTTTTAAAATTGATTTCCCCTCCCCTAGTTTCATTATACGGTTGTGGCAAGGCAACTTCAGAAAAAAAATTGCGGCTTGGAAGCACGTACTTCGGGTCTAAAACTTTTAGCATGTTAATGAATCCCGGTGTTCTGTCGATATATGCTGCCTTGTCGAAAAATGCTACCGTAGTGCTAATAGATAGCCCTAACCCTAACTCTTACCCTAACCCCCCAAAACCCCTAAAACCCTTACCTTAACCCCTAAAACCTAACCCTAATCCCAAAACGGTGGAACTGCACATGCGCAGAAAGGCTCGATAGCACGTCTCGATAGGTAGTATTTTTCGACAGAACACCCGGCTTTTCTACAGTATGTATGGGCACCATGTCTTTTGCAATATACATCGCGACGGCGTTTGTTATCGCCTTCCATCGTGCCCCATTCTTATCATATGACACACAGTTCGAAAACGTGTCAGGGACGGTTGCTTGCTTAACTTTGGATGTTGTGCTGGTGCTGCGGCTATTTCGCTGGGAGCTGCACTTCTCCCACTCCACTGTGTGCCTCTGCTTTAGGTGCTGGAATAAATTTGTCGTGCTTCCTTTTGTTGCAACAGTTTTTAAACAGACTTTGCAACGAGGACTTGTTTGGTCTGTGTCCGACGGCGCAAAACAGAACCAATTCCATATTACAGATGTAGAAAAACCTTTCTTGGGTACAAGCTCCAGCTTTTTCCCTGTCGTTTGTGAATCCATAGATATCTATAGAATGACTAGATGTCTCGTCTGCGTTGCTGGCCAACGGAGTCGCACGTCCGCATATGGCGGCCATCTTACCACAGGCTGCTCGCTCACCCAAAATATGGTGTTGATAGTAAAACATGTAATTTTTAAATAGCCATAACGTGCTCAATTTTTAACCGATTTTCA